GGGGGGGGGGGGGTGTGAAGTGAGCGAGGGTCGTGCGGGGCCCAGGGTGGGAGGAAGGATGTCAGCTGTGGCTCGAGGCGGTCCCGAGGCGGCAAGATATTTGCGAGCGCGGGCCGGCGGCTTGCCGCTGTCCTGCCTTGAGCCGCCCAGGGCACCGCCACGGGGCCATTTCCAGGCTGAGCGCGCAGCGGCAGTGCTTGCGCCCGGGGCGCGGATGCGAGCGCACACCTTCCAATCTGGCGTGGGTCACGGCGGCGCGGCCGTGGGCAGGGAACGCGGCGGCTGGCAAAAATGCGTGCTTCAGCGGCTCTACTACAATGGCGGCTCCAAAGGAGTGTTTGTTGCATATGAGCCTGTCGCGGTCCACGCGAACTGCCGATGGGCCAGTGCGAAGTTCGACATTCTCGTAGGCAAAGGAAGCATTCTGATATGTGTCTGAGAGTATTGATCAGCGATTGCAGACCATGACCCTGAACTACCACACCACCTGCTCGGGGAGGGGAGCAACTGTCCCTGTCCGACTCTGCCCTGACGACTGTGAAAGGACTGTGTCGTGCGTGCCGCGCATTACTGCACCGCGTCTTCGGGATGTGGCGTGGTCTTGCATGTGGGTGGCGTGGCGCAGCACGCACAGCACGCAGGATTGTATTCTTGTATCTGATGTTTGATCGGGGAGGTGGCGGGGGGCGCAGCAACCAGGAGGTGCACAGGAGGCCTCTGCGGTCCTGGGTTCCTGGGCGACTCCCCCACAGCCACAACGTGCCACATGTTTGTAACATTGCCATGCTTCTTATTGCATTTTTCTGCGGAAGTAAAGCTTGCTGGTAAACCCCCCCGCAGCATCGTGTGCTCTCACACAGGGTTCGACCCAGGGCCCACCTTGCACGAGCTGGCAGGGAGGCAGCCGGGCGCCGAGGGCATTCTTCCACCACCTGCGCCAGCTAGTCGGGATGAGTTGTCTGTCAGGTGGCCGTGCAGGCCGCGTATCGAGGCGTGCTGACCTCCCTTCCGCAATGTGCAGCGGCTTGTGGGTAGGCGGTTGTATCGTGTCGGAAATCCTAACGCCTCGAAATCATGAGCCTGCATCGAGCATCGGCCGTCGAGTCGGCGAGGTAGGCTTTTTAGGGACGGCCTTGTTGTGGCGTGCTGCATGTGATTGTGCCTGCGGAGCCTGGGCACCGAGTGCCCAGCTGCATGCACACTGCCTGCTGACGTGGCTGCAGTCGCGTCACTTTCAAGGCACCCCACTCATCGCCCATTGCACCTGCAACTCGCTAGGCAACCGAAGAATGAACCTGTTTAATCAACGTCCGTGTCTTAGGTTGTCTACAGGCTCAGCCGTGCAAGATCACTCTGATTGAACCCACGTGCTGGGTGCAGCCGCTGTGCCCCGAGCCCTCTCATCGATACACACGAAAAGAGAGCATCACACTCCTAAGCCGCAGCCAAGCCCCCGCCGACTTCTCGCAATTTCGCACGCCCTGGGACTCCTGAGCACCTGCCTGTATCTCCCGCGCTTCGCGCCGCCTGACGCCGCCCCTCACGCCGCGCCGAGCGGCAGCGCAGAAGATGCCGTCATACACCCAGTTCGTGGCGTCGACCACGGACGACTCCAAGCTCTCCTACGACTCGCGCCGCTCCTGCACCTATGGCACGCAAGGCATGGTCTCGGCGAGCCAGCCCGCCGCCGCGCAGGCGGCGCTGCGTGTACTGCAGTCGGGCGGCAACGCCGCCGATGCGGCCGTCGCCGCGGCCGTGGCGCTCGCCGTCACGGAGCCGTGCCATACGGGTGGGCAGGGATTGGGCCGGGAGGGGGGTTGCGGGCAGTGGCCCATCACCGTTGTTTGTGTGCATGTGCATGTGAGTATATTGTGTTCACATGTGTGTGTGTGCGTGTGTGTGTGTGTGTTTGTGTGTAAGGGTAAGGGAAAATCTGGCATGCACCTCGGCAGGCCGAGGTATGCAGCTCTGCTGCCGCCAAACCCAGCCCCTTCACCATCCCCGCCGCCCGCCCAGCTCGCCGCATCCCCGACCCAACCCCACCCCGGCGCCCCGCCACTCCACCGGCGCCGCCGCGGCCCCCACAACGCACGTGCCTCCAAGCAATCCCGCTACCCCCTGCCGCGGCCTGCCTTGAACTCTCTCCGCCGACCGCTGGGCCCCGCCGCCCCTCATCCAGGCCTCGGCGGGGACGCGTTTGCCCTCTTTTTCGACGCCAAATCGAAGAAGGTCCTCGGGCTCGCGGGGAACGGCGCTGCGCCCGCTGGGCTGTCGCTGGAGGCGGTGCGCGCCAAGGGCGTCCAGGGCGGCGAGCTGCCCATGTTTTCGGCGCTTACCGTGACAGTGCCGGGGGCGGCGCGGCTGTGGGAGGACGCGGTGGGCAGGTGGGGGCGGTCTGTGTGTATTGTAAGTGTGTGCACGTATGTGTGTGTGTGTGTGTTTATGTGTGTGTGTGTGTGTGGGGGGTGGTGCACGCGTGCGTGTGTGAATGTGCGTGCATGTGTGTGCGTTGCCTTGAGTGGGTGTGCACGCGTGCGTGTGTGTGCCGCGTGTGTTTGTTGATCATGAATGCGGACATGTGTGCGTGTGTGTGTGTGCTGCTGTGTGTGTATGTGCAATTCATACGTGTGTACGCCGCATGCAGTGCGCGTTCATATGAACCAGATTGTGTGTGTGCGTGTGGGGGGGGGGTGGGTGAAAGTGCGTGCGCACACGCGTGCACGCACGCGTGTGCATCTGCATGCACATGCAAAGCTGGGACCTGTGTGCAGGCCAATCCATCGCACCACCAGTCTATTTTGCCGCACCCACCCCGTCACCCAACCAGCACAGCCCGCCCGCCCTTCACCCGTATTCTCAACCGACCCACCACCACCGCCGGCGGCCCCCCCCGGCCCACGCGCGCGCCCGCCCGCAGGTGGGGCTCTGGCAACAAGTCACTGGGAGACGTGCTTCAGCCGGCCATCGAGCTGGCAGAGGGCGGCTTTGCTGTGGGGCCCACCACAGCATGGACCTGGTCCAGGTGGGCCTGAGGGCGGCCCTGGGCAAATGTTTGAAAGAGTTTGAAAAATATTCGAAAAAAAGTTTTAAAAATAGGGTTCGAACAGGGCGTCGTCGGACGAGCATGCGGGGGAACCGGGCGCGACCTCGGGTGCACTCTGGGGAGGGGGCCGCTTGCGAGCTGGAGGGGCCGCTCGCTGGCGCTGGTGGAGGGCGCGGGTCCGCCCAGGGCGCGAGCCCGCTCCAGCAGCTCGCCCCGAACCTGCCCTCCTTGTGAGGATTAGGATTGGGATTGTTACAGGGTCCCGCGGTCGCCTGCTTTTTACCCTCCTGACGCCGCACTTCGGCACACTTTTCGGAACGCCCCACATTCCATTCCCCTGGAATCTTCCCTTGCATGTGGGCCAACAACCCTCGGATCCGGGAGCCCCTCGTTGCACCGCCCCCCCCCCCCAAACCCACACACACACTCCAGTCCTGAAACTCGGCCGCTCCTCATCCACCCCCCTCCCAGGACCGCCTTCCAGATCATAGACCAGAAGTGCGGCGACTCGGCCGCCCCCCTCCTGGCGTCCGGCGGCCGCGGCCCCAGGGCGGGCGAGCTGCTGAAAAACGAGCCGCTCGCTGCCGTGCTCAGAGAGCTCGCAGACTCTGGCCCCGCCAAGGGTGCGCGCAAGCTCGACTGCAAGCACCACCGCCGGCGGTGCTCGGCGGCGCCTGCCGCACTCGCAGCGCACAACTTGGCCTGGTGTGAGCCGGCGATGGTACTCTGAATGCCGCGCTTGCGAGCCCCTGTGGGCACGAATCACCGTGCTGAACAACGAACACCGGCCCATTTCCTCCACCACACCCCCACTTGCACGGCCGTCCGCAATCGCATCCGTCGCATGTACCGGGCCGCAGCCATCTACTCTGGGCGCGTGGCGGAGGCGATTGTGGAAGCCGTGCAGTCGCGGGGGGGCGTGATGACGCTCGCTGATCTGGCGGCGCACAGGACGCTGGTGGTCGAGCCCATCAGCACCGAGTACAGGTGGGCGTCATGATGACGTCATCGCTGCCGCCGGTGACGCGTGGTGGCGACAAGCTTGTTGGTGATCACCCGGGGGCTGCTAGCCTAGTGCAGTGTTTTGGGCGTCCCTAAGCTTCTGGGGAGGGAGGCGGACTGCAGGGCCCAGGCGCAAGGCAGCAGCTTCCGCACAGCCGCTGTGGCAGCGGCCGCCACGAGAGGCGGCATCGCAAAGCGTATGGATCGCGCTGCGGGCACGGTTGCGCCGCAGGCCTCCATGCATTGTTCACACAGCTCTCCACAAGATACATTGCAGGACGTCCCTACACACACACACACACACACACACACACACACACACACACACTACACTCGCAAATTCACTTGAACACGCCATACGCACCCCCACCCTTCCCACCCAGGGGCGCCACCGTGTGGGAGGTGCCCCCGCCCTGCCAGGGCCTAGTAGCCCTATTGGCCCTCAACATACTCGAGGCCGACGCAGCCCTCGCCTCAAAGCCCCCGGGCTCCGCCGACCGCCTCCACTCTCTGATCGAGAGCGTTCGCCTGGGTTTTGCCGACGCCCTCGCATACAACTGCGACCCCGCCGCTGCCGCCGGGGTCGAGCCGCCGGCGCCCGTCGCGCCCTTGACGAGCGCGGCGGGGGCGGACGACGGGGTCGCCGCCGCGCCGCGGCACCCGCTTCTGGGAAGCCTGCTGTCAAAGGAGCGCGCGTCCGCGCGGCGCGCGGCGGCGTTCGACGGTTCCAAGGCGTGCGTCGCTTCCGAGGACGCGGCGCTCGGGCCGGCCCGTGAGGCGGCGGGCGGGGACACGGTGTACGTGTGCGTGGTGGATCGGGAGGGCAATGGTTGCAGCCTCATCAACAGCAACTACATGGGGTTCGGCACCGGGATTGTCCCGAAGGTGGGTCGTCAGGAGAATCCGTTCCTTCAGATGTTTTTCTTGCGTTGTACGTGTCTGCTGCCGGGCAAGCGTGTGTATGTTTTTATGGGAGGGTGTCTTTAAGACTCCTGATGTCCTGCTAATGCACACACGAACACACACACACACACACACACACACACACACACACACAAATGCACACACACACACTCGCGCGCACGCGCGTCCTCTGCAGGGCTGCGGCTTTACACTGCAGAACCGCGGCCACAACTTCTCCCTCAACCCGGCACACCCCAACTGCCTGGCGCCTGGCAAGAGGCCCTACCACACCATCATGCCCGCCATGGTCACCCGGTGAGAGTCACCAGGCATCGCCGGACGCCACAAGGCGTCACCGGGTGCCCCTCGCACGACGTGGTGACCACAGGAGACCGCCTGAGCGGCGCCCCTTGTCTCGTCGTGATTATGTCACAGCCCGACGCTCCAGCTCATGCGGCCCCGCCGATTGTGCCGCTGCGACACCCTGGGCGGGGCCCCGCATGACCGGTCGGCTCTCGCAGTGCTTGCGACCCAGACCGCCAACCGGCAGACTGCTTGAACCAACGCGCCTGCATCTTGTTCTCGCCCGCCCCCCAGGAACGGGGAGCTGCAGGGCGTCATAGGGGTGGTCGGCGGCACCGCGCAGCCGCAGGGCCAGGTCCAGGTGTGCGGGCGCTGCGCGCCTCCCCCCCCCCCCGGGCGCCCCGCGCCGGGGCCGCCGTAGGTTGCCGGGTGGCACTGCGTTCGTCCGGGCGAGGCGGCCTGCAGCCCGCCCTGGCGGCGACCCTCTCGGAAAGGGTGGCTCCCTAACTCACCCAACCCCTGATAGGGAGCGGCAGCCACCGCTGTCGAACCCCTTCACTGCACTCCCTCCCTACTCCACCACTGAGGAACCAGCACACCTCCACCCCACTCTGCCCCTCCTCCCTGCAAACCCCACCAGGTGCTGTCCAACATCCTGGACCTGGGCATGAACCCGCAGGCCGCCCTGGACGCGCCCCGCTTCTGCGTCGATCGCGCAGACTCCACCGTCGGCGCCGCGTCCGTGGCAGAGAGCCACGTGTTTCTGGAGGAGGGGGTGACCCAGGAAGCCGCCGAGAAGCTGCGGGCGATGGGGCACGACGTGGTCGGGTGGCCGGTGGAGGGGCAGGGCCGCACGGTGTTCGGGCGCGGGCAGGTGGGCGTGGGGGGCTCGCAGTGTTGGGTGGGCGGCTCCGGGCGACGCGCGCGAGGCGAGGGCGGGGGTGCCGCTGTGTTTGGTGAGATCCCTGTTGTGCAGCTTACAAGAAGCTGTGCTCCACCCGACTGCAATACTCTGTCTCGATGCTTGAGTCAGGCGTGTCTTATCATATCCATGAAACTGTGTTTGAACCGCGAACGTGGCAGGTGATCTGGCGGGACCTGGAGACGGGCGTGCTGTCTGGTGCCAGCGACCCCAGGAATGACGGGTGCGCCATCGGCTACTGACCCGACAGAGAAATCTGCAGGCCTGATCCTGTGGCCTTTGCCGGGACTCAAAACATGAGCTGTGAGGTGGCCCTGGCTCGGCGCCTGCCCCGCGGCTTGTGCCCCCCCAGGGGTGCCGGCGCAGGCATGCGGTCTGGCCCGCGATCGGGAAGGCGGCTGGGTTGGCAGTCGCATGTGGCGCGCGGCATGGGATGATGCGGGTGCTAAGGATGCCCACACACCGGCCAGCTGGTCGGCTGCTGGGCGCTGTCTGCCGCAGCTGCAGGGCGGCGAAGAACAGTCACAAGCGCCGATCGGACCTGTGGTGTGCGCTGGATGGACCCGCCATACGTGCCCGCATCAAGATTGAACAGAACAAAAAATTTTGTGTGCGCATCGCCGTGATAGGCGCTTCTGCGTCGCCGTTGGCTGCCTTGCCTTGAGCAGGAGGGCAACCATGCGAGCGGCCTGTGCTGGGTAGGCTCCCTGCGGTCGGCTTGTCGGTGGCCGTTCGTGGCCCTGGGGCTTGCCTCTACCGTACTTTTCAAATCAATCACTTGCAACCATGTTCCGGCGCGATGCCGTCTTCTAGATGTCTCACAGCAGCAGTCGTGCGTACCGTACCGGTAGAGCTTGCCGTGCACTGATGCAGCTGCAGTCCAGGCCTGGTGGCGAGTGGGTACACCAGCAGTCGCTGACGAAGCGCCCTTGTACTCGACAGCACTCGGCAAAGCATACAATAGAAGAGTGTGAGATGTACGGACCGCTGTAACGCCTCGCGAACGCCGCGTCACAGATCTGCGCGCGGAGATCGCTTCTCCGTCAGTCGAAATTCTTGTGGCACTTAGCACAAGACTCATAGTTGATTGTCCATAGGTTCGCCTGCAAAAGACGCCGCCGGCAGCAGCAGCGACTGCCGGACACGCCAGGGGCAGCGTGCCGCCGCTGCCGAGCCCCTAGCGCAGAGCGTCTTCGGCGCGCCGCGTGGCGGCCAGCTATGGCAGGCCCCACCTCCGAGCGCGAGATCGTGGCGCGGTTCCAGGAGATGCGGCAGCAGGTGGCGGAGACAGCCAGCAAGATAGGGGACCTGGAGGCAGAGGCGATGGAACATGAGGTGCGCCGCGACAGCTGCCATGCAAGGAGCGGCGTGTGTGCCCCGCCTGCGCGCCCCTACCCCCCTAGGCCCGCACGCGCGGCACAACGCCCACACGCCGTGCGCGCACAGCCACGGCC